ATGTATAGCTACAGTCGTAACGTTCGTTTGGCTGGGCGACTAAAACAACTCTTTGCTAGTCACTGACGATGCTTCCATATTCACTGTAATGTGATTCCATAAATGGTAATGAGTCAATTATTTAATTTATTATTTATGATAATTTTTTTTGTTCTAGTAGCTGTCCATGTAAGACAAACGCTCTTCCCACAAATACTTCTACTGCAATAATGGTGCCTTTTTTTCACCCACCAACGCGTACTTATTGCTAAAGGTTGTTCCGTTACTCGGCTCATAATGTAGTAGCGTTCCAGACGGCATCTTGACAACTAATCAAACACCTTCGCGTCCTTGTAAACACCGAGCTACTGTGTCATGAGAAAAGTGTTTCAAGGCGACTGTTTACGACGATTAACGTTCCCGACTCAGATGGCGGCTGTTTACCGCTTTGGCTGTTATTGCCATAGTCTTACAGAGCCCATAGAAAATGTCCCAAACTGCAAGGGCTGTTTCGTACGGAAAGTTTAAGGAACTTCACATCGAAGAAAGCGACGGTGAAGGCGAAAATAAAATAAATCCTGTAAATGGTAAATAAATAAATGGAACATACAAAATACAAGAAGTGAAAGGAATTTTGAAAGTTTCGTAAAATTCTTATCTCCTCGTTGGTTTTTCTTTATGATCACTTTAAAGGATTGTGGCTAAAGGAATACGTTGAGAGTTTGGCCTTTATTTTTCTCTTTATGGCATTTTCGTCCCTACAACTTTCAAAACTTTCATACGTAATGCTCGAGCAAGTCGTCGTAAGAATTGATTTCATTTGAGTCATTTTCTGTCACAATATTAATATTAATGTCATCACATATTTTCATCCCTAATTTGTGGGGCCAAATCCTGTTAAACAATGCGAAGGATCAGAAATGAGACAGATCAGCAACATTCTTCACTGTACGGAAGCACACTTCCAACGTTTGTCATATATTAATCATCGTCATCATGGGCATTTTTTTAATCCAGTGCTGAATGGAGACCTCCATAAACTTTGTAATAAACTTCCTTTTCTGCGATTTTTACACATTTTGATAAATAATTATCTTCAACTCGTTTTGCTCTCAATCTTGAGGTCTTCCTACGGGCCATTTACAGTTTCTTGGAACCAAGTTTAATTTCCCTGTTCCTTTTTTCTGGCAAGAGCTTAATACCATTTTTATTCTCACGTTGATTTCACATAGCTGGTTCTCCGTTTCAAACATGACCTGTCCCATATGGAAGTAATTACGCACCCGTTTAAGCCTAAGTTCATTGAGTTCAGTAGGTCTCGGGCAATTTAGTCATGATCTGAGTCTCTTTCAGGATGATCTTCAGTTTTGCTTTGATGCTGGCGTACTTCATTTCGTGGATTTGGAGTTCTTCCTGTGATTTTGAGAGGAACCGAATATCTTCCACAAACCTTATAGTGCCGATTTATCATAAGTCCCTATATATATTCGTTTCGCTAGGATTGGATTGGCAGATGTTACGGATTCGGCAGATTTAGTGTGAAGATAGAAGAGAAAAAGATGCTCTAGGTACCGTTTTAAGGGAACATCATGTTCGTAGATCATCAATATGGACATGTCTCAGGGTCTACGTGCTTTCAGCAGTTCTTCACATGTATACTCCTGAGTCCATGTCATGTCGACTAGGCCATATATTATATACTGAGGCAGTACTGGGAACTAGCACATAAATTCAAGCATGTTTGTACCAACAGAAGTGTTCGTAGGCTCCGAAGCGATCGGCTAATGACAATAATAATTTAACCAGCGGGTCACAGATGAAATCTGTTAGATAAGCAAACGATATTGAATGAAGAATTACATTGATGAAGAAATATGATGCCCTCCAGCCTCATGGCAGAAAACAGTATTTGCAGTTGTGAACCATGGTCATGAACCAGAAGCCAGAGACGGTTCCGTTGTCAGCTGAGGTAAAAATCAAGACGTCATGCAAAGTACGCAATCGTTTTATTCTACAATAAAAGCTGTGCGACAGAAGCAAGTAACCCACAAAGACAGACAGAAGAAGCAGATGTAACGCGCGGGTGCGCATACAAATCTGATGTACCTGAGAAACGGATTTGGGTTTCTATCAGCGCCCGCCGAACAGCAGTGTCACTGTCTGAAAATCACAGAGTCGCCAAAACGCGATGGTAGCGTGCCCTCAGAACGAGGTACCGATGATCAGGCGGTCACGGTCAGTGGTGACGCCGATGTCCACTGCGTACGGGAAGACGACGGACTTGTAGCCATCGGAGGCGACCCCCAGAGGCGAGTAGTCCGGCTCGAAAAGCACGTCACCTCCTCCGCAATGACTGTCCACGCCGTCGGCCGTTGCTGTTGTTGTGGTTGTCGGTCGTTGGCGACCATCGTCCACTAGGGTCTTGAAGGCAGTGACGTCGATGCTTATCAAATCATCCGGCACATCGATCGCAGGTCCACAGCCACCGCCGACGTTAACACTCTAGAAAAGGGAAAAGCATCGTCATGACATCGTTGGAAAGACATGGCAAAAAATTGGGTCATTTTTTTGCCGCTGTCGGAACTGGATCATCGCAACCGCAAGCAGTCGCACTTGTCGCAGTTGGTGACCTTGAAACCGTCGCCGGTCCCGTTTAGACGGCAAAATCGAGAGCGCGGCCGCGACTGGCACCACCTCGTCAGTAGTGCCTCAAAAAAACAGACCCACAAACGATCACACATGTACAGCAAAAGATAGTCGGTCTTCTTCGTCTGGTTTTTTCCGTCGAACTTAGAATTATCCATCTCACGTACGAAAGCCTTTATTAAGCCACACCTGCTCTGCTGGAATCTACCGCAGAAATCTCTAAACGCAATATGCCTTAAAACCGGCTTGGGCACCTTCTACACGAGCAACGCCGCACTTCCTCCTCCACTTCCTCATGAATGACCAATTTACAGTTATTCCCCCCATTCATTCTATTTCATTTCATCGTTTTAAAGCAATCAGTCTTGGGAAAAAATCATCATCATCTTCCATGACCGCTTCTCGTTTCGGGTCGCGCAGGCAGACGCGTCAGACAGTGCTTCCAACGTTCCCGATCCCGTGCCAAAGTCTGGAGCAGACTCCTTCTACATATCTGGAAGGAACCTTCATGGGCAAAAAATTCTTACTTACATTTTGGACCGACTAATTTGGGAGTTGTGATCTGCTTATATCCGTATGAGAAGATGACGAAGCAACTTGCTGTTTCTGTTTCTGTCTCATTCTTAAGATTGCCAATTTTTGAGTCATTTGAATACGAAAACCATCTTTGGTCTGCGATGCGTTTAGATCTTCAGTTTTCCAATTTTTATGCTGTGAGGCAGTGATCATTGATGTGTAGGAGGAATTATCAATTTCCCTACGCAGCTGTGCCCCTACCTTCGTCATGTCGACCGCGTGCGGTTGTTATATGAACATTGCACAGTGTACCTACTGTGTAACGTGCAATGTCTGAATCATACCTGCTATTAACCTGCTACCATTACGTAACATTTCGTACTCTCAGACCTACAGTGAGGTCAATACAGTTAAAAATAGGATGAATCATCTGTAGACCAAGAGAGCAATGGCATACATTAAAGAGCAATTGCCAACAAAGTCTTACTTTCATTTCAGTCAGATTAGTGGAGGAATTGAGAGAGGTGGTCAGCCTGTTCTTGTCCTCCATGTGGTCTGCAATGAATCGAGATGGAGACGAAGCCACAGCAGAGTCCATGCCAAGAGGTGTCCCGCCGAAGTCGCTCTCGCCAAATTCAGATGTCCAATCGCCGCGGCCGGGCACCACCACCTCGGAATGGCAGTCCTTCCTGCTGTTCAGCATACCACTGACCTTGCGGGTCTCTTCCTTCAGCTGCTTCAATTGCGATTCAAGTTCCATCACGCTAGCTACCATTTCGATCAGCGTGCGAAAGCGGTTCTGTGTTTGACTAAGGTTCGGCACCTCCTGGCGCAACATCTCGAAAATCTCCCCAGAAGTTTTGGCTGACGCGACCAGCCGAGAACTTGCTGGAGCGGGAGACGATTCGGCAGCGGTCAGCACAGGAGAAGAGCATGTTTCGTTCGACACGGGTCGCGCAGGACTGACCATTGGTGCCTTGTAGGAGGAAGGCACGGTGCAGGCCGGCGTTTCGACCTTCGACGTGCATGAGGTAACGACACCGTTTTGTAGCGGCATTTCTGAGGACAGAACCTGACTGAAGTTATTGGGCCCCTTCTGCTGAAGGCCCACGTTGTTTCCCACAACCAGCAGGCCAAGGGGGCAGTTGGATAGAGGCGAAAGCGCCTGCCTTTGATGATGAGGAGGAGGAGCAGGAGGAGGAGGGGACACCAAATTGAACGGATACGGTGCCACGCTGGAAGTAATCATCTGCTTAGCCTTTCTGTTCTTATCCACGCGACTTCGACGGCCGTTGCTTGTCTTTCTCGGCGACTGATGAATGGACAACGGCGAGTAGTCGGTAATGGGTACGGTTTCGTACGTCCAACCCAAGATGCGACGCGTCTTCTCCTGAATCGTGCTACCCAACAAACTGTCTGACTCGGACGGCAAATCACACGGCTGTCCCAGGTTCGAAGCACCACAGGGACTCAGCATCTCTGGCATCGACGCCCAGTCATGCATCACAAAACAACGCCGTTGAAACCAAATCCTGAAAGTACGAAATGTAATTACATTGATGCCTCGACAGAGACGCAGAGTTCTATGAAACATATATTTCAATTAATAAGACGCGAGTGCTCCTCTAGGACGGTAATGAATACTCGAAGACCCCAAAATGCCATACAAGATCTGATCAACCAAGAACTCGGAATGAGCAAAATTCAAGGAAAGTCGAAGAACCGAAAAGACTTATAGTGTCTCCCCCCTCTGTCGAAACTTTGTGTTTCCCGCCCATCAATCACGGAATGCGGTTGTACAGTAAACCTTGAAGAAAGGAAACAACGCAAAGAAGGTAAAGCAATATTTACGGTTTTCAAAGGACAGACGGTCGGCTACGATCGCGGTGACGGTGAACAGTGGTGCGACGACGGTGAGGAAGTTGACACTGGGACAACGCTGACAGCGAATGATAATTATTAAAAGCAGTACCACTTTTATAGTAGGTCTAAGCTGCGATTAAAAGGGATACAATGTTGTTCGAGCAACTTCTGCTCGACACCGACTGACACAGCAGCCACGTGCGGCCGCCCGAAATGGGTTACTTCGTTAACAGTGTTTCGCGCGGCGGTGGCGGCGACGACTGCTATGGCAACAGCTCCCTCGAGCCGGACAGTTGGCCGAGGTATATG